GCATTTATTAAAATATCTTTTTATATAAAAGTATGCAATAATTTATGTCAGATTTCTAAATTTTATCTAAATTTTTTACTTTGTTTTGATCAAATGTAGAAGTCTCATTTACAGAGCATTTTAAAGTTTTTAAGTATTTTGAAGATATGCTTTGCATAGTAAATTATTTTATTCTATATTAGACATCTTAAATCTTCAATTTACAAGTGATTATTCTGGTTAAATTTCTTCGATGGGTGGTATGACCAAGAAATAAAGAAATAGTTATTTTCATTTCATGTTAATCTTAAATGTAAGAAAAGTACAACTTGGATTGAAAATACACAAAACCTGCACCTTTACTTTCAGGGCAGGTTCTCTTACCAACTGCACTTTTGAGTTCAAATATCACAAGCCTGAGTTTTCATTTTATTTATGTATTAGGAAGACCACGGGTAGGACTAATAGTTTATGCCAATTGGCTTTTAAAGTTTAGAGTACATCTAACATTTTAAAAGAGGGGTTCTAAGATTACACTTTGAATTGAAAATGAAATGCACACTGCCCTATTTAATTTTTGTAAAATTAGAATATTTAAGAGTGTTACAGCATGTAAAATTATATTGTAATTATAGATTTCTAAATAATCTTATAATATTCAGTTTTTTTTGTTATGTTTTTAAAATTGTCTGCGGAGAGTGATTTTGCTTTTCAGGTTTCACAGATCTGTAAGGTTTATTTACTTAAGAATATCAATTAGTTACAGAGTTATTCATAAGTGTATAACACACTGCTTCTATCTACAGATTGATTTTGTTTCATTAAGAATATATGTTTTAGTAATATTTATTTTTAACATTTACCTAGAGCTAGCTGTATGTTTATATTAAGAAATGTATTATCAAACCAAAAATATGCTTTTGTTCTTACACTGCCCCAGTTATTATACTTTTTTGACTTTAGTCAGATGTGTGTGTGTTATTTATCAAGTCTTGATGACTTTAGTTTAACCACTTTGTTTTTACATAATTAAATATCTTAGTTTTGGTTGTTAAAATTAAGCAGAAGAATATAATTTTAATGCATCAACTCTAGTTAATAGCATAATTGGAAGCTAAATTCTTAAGTACAATTTATACCAGGAAATCAATATAAAATTTCATTTCTTAAATATTTCTAAGTTAAATAGATTATTCTGGAAAAATAATACATTGGATTTGTAGGAAAAAAATTTTAAACACAGAACTATGTACTCACTCATTAGAAGAAAAATTAATTTCCCATTTACATTTAAAAAGATTAAAAAATAGTCTTAACTATTAGCATGTGACCCCCAGTCATAATGAGCTTAATTTACATATCTGATATTAACACTGTTACACATATATATATATATATAGCTGTACAGTCTCATCTAACAGGTACTTTTTTAAACCTTGATTGTAGGTAAATTATTCTTAAAACTCGCAATATTATTTTCACGTTTTATTTTGTTCTTTTAATACAGTAATATATACCTAAGATAAATGAAATTTTCTGCTCTGTGTACTCTAATTTGTACATGTAATTATAAAAATATATACTTGTTGCAATCATATGAATGCAGTCTTTAGAATCACTATGTATCTGTCAACATGATAGAAATGTTTGATGATTCTAAAGTTTACAATAAAAATTATTTTTAAATATATGTTTTGAACTAACCTGTAATTTTTATATCTTAATTGTAATTAGTATAGTTGGTATGTAATCATTTCTGTTTCAATTTTCACAGCTCAAAAAACAACATGAATTAAATGAATTGGATGTAGTTGTACTTCTGCACTTAAGCCAGATCCTGTATTTTAACTACTCTCAAGAAGGACATCTACTTCAAAATTGTCAAGATGCACTTGTTTTTCCTTCTGATGAACTTGATAGGCTTAAAGAAAGAGTAAATGAACTAAAGAGTGAAGCTGTTTATCAAAGAGATCTTCATAGGTATAAAGAGTTCCTCATTATTTTTTTCAAAGCCCTTGGAAAAATTAGTAAGGTTAAAAATAGAGTTCAATCCACAGTGTTCTACTAGTAGTTGATTGACGTACTATCTTTAAATTGTATATTATGTATAAAATTAGAACAAAAGCTAAACACGTGGATTTGATTGAAGCACTATCATTTATGTATATAGGATTTTCCTTTTCTTTTTTTTATGTAATTTGTATCTGACTGGTAATATTTATAAACAGCACAAGCTCAGAAATTTCTGTAAAAATAATTCTAATAACATGCAAAGAATCAAAAGTTTTTTCACTGGAGTTAGCAAGTTTTTGTTTAATCTGTTCACAACTGAGCATTTTGTATATGCATTAAAAATAAAATTTCCATTGACATTTGTATTACAAAGTGGGTAACTGACTATTTGAAATAAGGGCAGTTTCTAACAATGGATCTCAAAGTTTTTCTGTAACATATAAAGTATTGTTAGCAAGATCAATGCAGAATAATTTTAAAATGGTCTATTGGTTCATCAGAACATTGATTGTTGAGATGCTGATGCAAGTCAGACTGATCCTATTGACTTAATATGTCTTTATTATACATCTAGAATTTGCAACTAAACAATTTCTGTTCAGAATACAACGTTATACAATACATCATTTGATAGATGAAAATCTTGAGTTTCTATTGGTTATAGGTAATATATAATGAAACATAAGAAAGAACTATCAACGAACTGTGAAAGAGAAGATGTGACAGGTGGGTGTGGCAGGAGGGGTCTGATTTTCTATTCAATAGCTCTGTAACCAAACAAAATTTTTATAGCTTTCAATTTTGTTTGGTTACAGAGCTATTGAATAGAAAATCAGACCCCTCCTGCCACACCCACC